GTTCTTAAAAAATTTTTTTTATTATTATTTATTCCATTGACATATATGATATTCTTCAATGAGGTAGTTCTCTGGTAAGATCCTCTGTGTGCATCATAACAATGCCATATAAGGCAAACAAAGGTTTGTCTGTGTAATGATAAAACACATTTTTCCAGAAATGGTCAATAGTGAGCTCTTTTCTCCGAAAAGTACAAGATATGTTGTTATTTTAACACCCCCTCCTTTAGTCACACCCTTTCTGTTGAAAATCATGAAAGTCTTTCAAAAAGGTCTGGAAACATTTATTTCAGGACATGTTTTCAAAAGAAACAGGCTATAGCAATATCCTGTTTACTGCTAATTCTATTTATAAAACCGGTTCTACCCTATAACCTTTGAATAGATCAACCTAAACCACGTGTCTTGAATTTAAATCACAATAACATTAGTAGGGGTGTTATGCGTGAATAGAAAAAAAAATCATTTGCTGTGACCTACAACTCGACATTTAGAGACTGTAGACGTACTTTTTTCCACGGGGTCATAAAACTGCGGAATCTCAATTTCTGATTAATCCCGGATAGAAAATTATCGGATATCCTAGACTGTCACTATATGCCTTACATTTATATTAAGTACGCTTGGACAAATTTCCGCGGAAAATTGGGACCGCGTACATAACGTAAATTATATCACCACGCGGAATAAAGTTCTTCTACAGTATATCAGAAAAAGCAATTAACAATGGTACATGTAATTTCCATTCCTATGTCGGTGTTTTACTGGTGAGCTTGATATAAAGATACCACAGAGTCTGACACATCTGTTTATTACTAAGGTAATCTAACAACCAAGCCTTATAAAAAATGTGATGACTCTAATTTTTCTACCGCCAAACTTCTTTTGGAATAAGTTTCGATTATTTTGTTAACAACTATCGTCAAAAATCATCCCACACAGAATTTCATATGACTATTTTTTAATAGGTTCCTTTTGAAACAACAAATATAATGTCCCCGAAAATGTTCTAGATAACAAGTCAACGAAACTTGATCTCCACAAAATTTTTTTTCCGCAGTATTTATTTCTATATTTAAATTTTTGTCCTACGCAGAGAATATAATCAACATCCCCGCTTCATAAATAGCCATTTTAATCTGTGTATCATAAAAAAAAAATTTGCTTTATAAATAATACATGAAATAATCTTGTCGCAATGCCATACTCGTATTAGTTACTTAAACAATTTTTATCGAACAATTATATCAACAACATTTAAAATGAATTTCTGTATATTAACTTTAATTCACGTGCGATAAAAAATTCACAAAGTTCGCGAGAGCCTCGTATCGCGAATATTTCTCGTCGCGAACCGATCCTTAAAGTGTATGTGTCTATAAACAAAATATTTAAGAGGCTTGATCACGAAAATTAATTGTCTCAAACTAGTTTATCCCTCGCAAATCGCGAAATAAGTCTTCGTGGATAAAAGTCGGCTACTGTACCTTGCAATGGTTGTGGCTTCTTTGATGTTTCCGTACCACCAGCTGGCAATTCTTTTTTATCTACAAATTATAGAGTTTTTTTGTATTAAAACAGAGCAACATAGTAAAAAATAATTAAAATGCTTTAGAACAGAATCGTTTTTTATTAGTTTCTCACACCATTCTCTTTCTTTCGTTCTCTCCCTCTCTCTCTCTCTCTGTCATCATTATGTACCATTTTTCTGTTTATCTAACGTCAATTAATTGCTAAAATATTTTGAGTACGACATACAAAATGGCAATGACAGTAAACAGAGGACAATTTGTTTGATATTCTAAACAAAATAAATGGATTGAATAACACGTAAACGTATCACAAATTGCTAGAATGCTTCAAATTCAAAAAGTAATACTAAGTGTCTAATTTACGAGGGCGCTCTCAAAAAGTTCAAATTCTATACCACAAGAAAATCTCAGAAAACATATGTTTAATTTACAAGTTTATAATAAGGACATTGTCAGTAAATACACATTTGTAATTTTACATTTTTTTTTCTACAAATTTACAAAAAGATTAAAAATCCATGAAGGCATTCTTTAAAATAAAAATACAGTGTTTCCATTTAAATATAATTTTTTTTAAATTCACAAGAGAAGACTGTTCTCAAAATAAATCTTTGTTAGGATGAAAATTATAATATGTTCGTTATAATATACATCCCTATAAAATTTGGAATTTACCCTCAAATATGTCTGTATGATCAAGTCTAATAAAATGTTTCATACAATCATCATATAGAGATTAACTCACGTATATTGCTTTTACAAAAAGAATACAATTTCCGGTATAAAATTCATTTATGAAAAAGTTTCAGTATAACTAGCTTTATGCTCATAAGCTTGCACTGAAGACTTCATACGGAAGCTCTAAAGATATAAATAAACAAATAATTTATAATAAATAAGTCATAAAAAGTAGGTAAATGTCCCTCTTCCCCACATTCATGTGTACATGTAGAGTTACAGTCTACATGTCTGTGAAAAAAAATGATATTTTTTGTATTAGTGAACTGGAGAGAAATATGTTTATTGCATGTATGTGAAACAATGTCAGAAAAATAACAGAAAGTAACTTAACAAGTATCGTTCTAGTAAAAAAAGAAAACAACAACACTGCATTATTTAGCATAATACATGTATGTGTCAAACATCTAAATGGACATAATCTTTATACTAGTATCGGACATGATACCAAAAATACCAAAATTCTATACGTAAGCGTATTGATCTAAAATTATATTATTGCAAAATGTCGGGAAAATTTTAATATACCATGAAGTATCTGATTATATAATAAGAGATGCCATAATTTCAGCTGTATTCAAAATGGCGCACATGTACAACTTGAAGCAAAAATATGTTGTAAAATTGATTAATAAGAGCGATATCTTAAATACTGTACAGTGTGTGATAATGAAAAATATGCAGACTAGAAATACCTGTCTAGTTTTCATGTATGAAAAATAATTAGAGAGTTTGAACAAAAATTAAAATCCTGACTCCCCAACCCCCACCCCACCAAACAAAATCAAGGTGAATCATCATTGCGAAAATCTCAGTAAAGTCAGATCTGTGCTCAGTGACATGGATTGCAACAATGCAGGCAAGTGTATCGAGTGTGTTTAGAGAAATTTGAAATTTGAATTGGATGTGTCTGAATACAAGATTTTAGCATTTAAAACCAATTGACGTTCAGAGCTTGTTAAAGTTTGCAAGATTGATTGATAGAAAGACTAAAACGACACATTTATTTAAATGCAACTTTCAATAAAAAAAAATATTGATGCGCTTTGGGGGTTCTGAAAAGCTAGATATAAAACAAGAAATTTCTCAATTATCCTGTGAAACTTACAAATTAAAACAGTGGTCATAAATTTCTGAGCGAGATTCGCTTAAGTTATTTAGGACAATGTTAGGAAAACACTTGAAGAGTAGCATTTTGAGATTTGTTGCCGTAGTAACTGTAATGGAGAATATTGGATACTTCTTACTCAGAAATATAATTTTGAATATCTGCTTATTAAAATGATAATTAAATGTATATGTAGCTTTTGTTGTTATTCATCTGTCTTTAGATGTGTGAAATATATTGTGAAACACCCTGTGCATTGTTTCATATTTATATTATCTTAATGTAGATTTTTATGTTTAAAATTGTATTGTTACATGTATTTTGCTTTTTTCTCAACATTTGATTTATCCCTTATTATCTCCAGTATGGAGTTTCTTTTAAACAAACGATGAAGAATTAACGTTAATATGCTTATGAGACAAATTGGTTTTCTAGCCTGCGAATATGGAAATGCAATGTTCACTCACATGGTTGGCATGATCCATTTGCAAAATAATGTTCATCCGTACAGACACAAATGTTCTTTCTACAAACACTCGAATTTGCAGTTGCATTACACTGTTCATCATACCAACAGGTTTGATTGACTTCTAAATCAGCTATTATGAATGAATTATAGAAATTATCTTTCATTTCTAATATAACTGTTAAGCAATAGTGATGATATTAAATTGTACATTACGTTTCAACTTCTGAATCATTTCAGTTTCAAAATACCTAATGTATAAACATGAAGTCACCATGATGAAGTTAATTGTATAAAAATTCAAATAGATTATTCTGACTTCTATTATATGAATTTACAAAAAACGATTGATCATTATATAAGAAATAACCGTCGTAAACAAACTTTAACGCAAGGTATGAATTGTATTCAAATAAAAATTCTCTTCTTACTTCGTATGCAGTGTCCATTAATCTCTCAAATCCTGGGAAAAATTTACAAGTAGAAGTGGCTTTGTCACATACTCTGTTGTATCCTGCTTTGCTGCATTGGATATCAAATGTACAGGGTTCACCCATACTAAGATCAACTGTAGTAAAAACATTAAATAATAATTCAGGGACATAAATGTAATTTGTATTTTTTTTTTTAACAAATTAAAGGCAGTAACTTAGAAATGTCGTGTTTAAGACAGAACTTTAATTTTGAAAAAAAGACATCAATCAACCAAGCCTGTCTAAAATTTTGCAGGGCTCGACACTTTAGACCACTTATGTTTTTTTCAATAAAGTGTTAGTATGGAGGCATAGAGTGTTTTGGCGGTTTTTAAAGAGAAATATGATTTTTTGCTCTTAAGGCCCGCCATCATCTGTGCAAAAAAAAAGCGACGACATCCTAACATCCAGACATGTCTCAAACTTATTAGAACCCAAGGCCTCACATTGCCAACAAACGCATTATTAATTACTTATGATGTGACGAGCATGTACACAAACATGGAATTGAAGAACTTCTCTCATCAGTAAATGAGGCTTACACACAGGGCAATAAAACGCAATTAGACATTCCATATCCGGACCCAGGATCTAAACTTCTTACTGAAATGCGTCTTGGAAAACAATTACCTTGAATTCGATGGAAAATATTACAAATAAATAATAGGAGCAAGTAGGGGGACAGTCCTAAACCCAAATTGTGACATCAGAATGTATCAAATCACAAAGCATATAATGGCACAATTTCCCGCCAGCAAAATTGTCTTCCACGGCAGATAGTGATGACGGTTTCATAATTTTTAATGGAACGCAACCAGAGATAGAAGAATTCTTCAATAACGGCAATCCTGTCACAAGCATCTCAGATTTACATTTGAAATTTCTCCATCTGCTGTGAACTTCCTTGATACTACAGTTTATAAAGGACAGAAATTTCAAAATTTTAACAAACGTAAGCTTGATATCGAGTCGTTTATCAAACCATCAAATAACTTTCAGTATCTTCACAGACAGAGCGCTATGCCCAGCTGTGTTTAAAGGATTCATTATAGGAGAATGCATTAGACATGCAAGAAACACTACTGACCCTGAAATATTACATGCAACACTTAATGACTTCAAGACGCACTTATCAAAGCGGGTTTTTACTTCGGAAATTGATCTTATTATCAAGGAAACGGTCAACACAAACCGATCAAAACTCATATCAAAGAGACAAAAGAACAGTCATTACGTAACCCTACAGTACTGGTTACTAAATTTAACCATTGCGTTAAAGGACTGAAAAAACGAATTCTGAAATACCGGGAACCCCACAAAATCCAGAATGCAAAACTTTATTTAATTCTCAACCAATCATAGCTTACAGCAAACACAAGAATATAGGAGACGAAATAATCCGGTCTCACCTAAAACAAACACCATGATTTATGTCCGTGGGCCCTGATGAGGCTTCTTAATCGCCGAAACACTCTACAACTACATGTACTTGTGTAATTCAAATCAAATATTAATTTGCTCTATGCAAAAAATCATATCTACTAGAAGTGGGGTTTTGGGAGTGTCGGGTCCTAATAAATTCTTACAAGTTTGATTGATTGATGTCGCTAATTTTCAAACATTTTGAATGATAACGCAGCACAATTAAGGTTACAAATGGACACATCGGCAAGTTTTAAAGCTAAAAATTACATACTTTATTAGGATGGGCGATTCTTTTTAGGCCTTCACTGATTTAAAAAAATTCAATGTGGTTTTAATCTGCATGTTGAGGACTTTAAGATTTTTATTTTGATTTGTCACGTGATGTCACGTCGCATGATTTTGCAATTATACTTGCAGTTTAGAAGTCATGTATAAATTCCAATATTGCAAGGGCATAACTAAATTAAAAAATCTTAGTTTAATTGATAATCCTTTTCAAAGTTATATGTAGTTTGTGAAAAGTGCTGCGAACCTATATAGATTCCCCTTTTTAATTGCTAAAATTTAATTTGTTGGACGGCAGGTTGAATATTTTGCTGGTCAAATACATTAAATATAGTTATAATTAATTCATTTGCAAGTTTTCATGAAGTTCGCAGCACTTTTCAAATACCCTAATGGTTATTGAGTTTATGTGTAAAAACTTGACAAGATACATTGAGGGTATGCCCTTGCAATAATTCGAGTTATTGGGACCCTTCCATTACTTTTTCAATAATTCTGCATACATACCCACGACAGTATCACTTGTCTGGAGAATGTACTGACAGTTTATAAATAAAATACTAAAACAGACATCGCACCCAAGTTAACAGCCTTTTATTTAATTGAAAATATTTTATTTGAGAACAAAAGACATTTTTATTCTACAAAATGTGACTTGATCAGCCTCTCACTGTGTATAAACTGCGTCATTTTTGCGAGGTGACGTCACATTGACAAGTGCATTGCAATCGATGTACTGTAATTTATATGCTGTTGTGTGGGATTAAACAGACAAAACTGCATGTAATAGTAAGTTTGTATGTAGTATACAGCTATCCAGCTGTTTGAAATTGCAAATAATTTCATTTTTTTGTATTTTAAAGACCTTATATTATGTGTGACGTCATAGAAAACATTTCCCGTATAAATTAGGCCCCGCCTCCTTACTTTAACCTTAACTGTGCTGTGCATACAATAGTGTGTGACCCAAATAAATCTGACGAGTGTTCGAAAGTGAAAATGTCAAATATTGTTGAAAACATGCTTTTCTCACAGAAATAATACCTGCCAAACAATACTTTCAAATGCAGGACTCAAAAGGAAAATTTCTTTAAAAAATTTCAATACTTTGCTGGTGAAAATTTAAGTAAAATGCTAAAAACATAAACAAAATAGAGTGTGGTAAGGTTTTCTTTTTTATAATATGCACAATTCACTTTTAAAAGGCTTTAAATTTAGTTATAATATAAATCCTTTTTTTTAAAATTGACTCTCTTTTCATAATATTTTTCCCCTCAGAAGAATTGTAATATATGCTTATGCATATTTAGTATTATTGTTCTTTGGTCTGCAATGTAAACATTAAAATAATGAGGTATATCTTGATCGATTTTAAACCCCCTGGTTAACCTACCTCTTATTACATAAAGCCTAGTTGTCACGGATTCTTTTGTCTGTACCGAAATACATTATTACACACAAATAAAGCTTGCCAATCATCCAAAACTTGTGATGATATATGCCCTCCATGAATGATATAAGGTAAGGTTCTCTACATAAATTGTAGTATCATAATTCTTGTACTATTATACAGTTGTTTATAGTGTTTTGATGCTTATCGACCGATAGAGTAAACTAGGTGATGTGTACGGAATGCGGTTTTTAAATCCAGTAATAATCGATAGAAACTGTACCTACATATATTTTTGTCTATATAAACTTACAGCAAATCCATGTTTAATTTGAAGTATTTTTTTTACAATATTCAAATTCCACTTTATATTTTGTCACATAATACTCTTAAACCTGGCTTGGTCCCACTGGCTGGCTTTGTAATTTATAATTTGCTCAAACATGTATATTCGCCATGTCATAAAATGACTTAGGGACCTTTTCTGTTAGTAATAAAAATAATGAATTTATTAACAGTCGAAAATTATAACCGTGATGTAGAAAACCCGAATTTTAAAAACGAAGCCCGAAATTGGAGCAACACTAATTCTTTTTCGAACCAGAATGTATTTTTATCAATGCACGGAAATTCAAAAAGGCAAAAAATAAGATATGCTTCGATGAATTCTTTCGAAATTGAATATTTCAAAGTTATAGTGGTATTTCGGGGAAGGGGTATAATGGTTTTGGGGTTGGGGTTCCTTATAAACTCATAACCTTGTTTGTTTCAAACCACTGATATATATACGAGGGTTGATCCAAAAGTAATGTTACAAGTTCGATAAAATCGCTACCCATCAACGTTAAGCAAAACAAAAAAATCATAAATGATTCAAATTTAATTCAAATCAGACCTGAACATTTCAATTCGACATGTAGTAGTATAAGACCAACTTAAAATTTCACATATCGCTTTAACCGTCTGTCCTTTTTGACAACGTCACACATCATTTAAAGTTTCCGTCCCCCTTCAGTCTTTCTGTCTTCTTGTCATCTGCTGAGCATTCAATGACCCAAAACCCGCACAAAATTGCTGAAACCATCTAAAGAAGTTTCTTGTTTACATTCTTTCCTCTGTGAGTCTGGTGAATTAGCCTAACTGTCTCCTCTGGCGATTTCTCCATTTTGAAGCAAAAATACGGTACAGTTTGTTTTGGCCAGACCTGAAAAGTTAAAGGAATATATGACGTATACTTTTAAAATATTGGATTTTAAACAATGCGCGTTTATGGATCGCCGCACCTAATTAAATATAACGTCGTACGACGCATACGCAGCGTCATACTTTTAAGCCTATCCCCTTTTGTTTCATTAAAACATTTTTGTGATTCGCAAACACTTTCACCCATTCCACTTTCTTTAAGAATTCTTGTAACATTATACACTCACTCTTTTTATGTTAATCCCTCTGTCAAATATTTCTTGAACAGCATAAACAAACAAAAACACATGTCACTCTACCCGACCGTCTTTTTGACAACGTCAGGCACCATTGAACGTTTCCGTCCGATCTCCTATCTTTCGCTCTTCTTGTCCTCTGCTACTCATTCAGTGATTAATCACCCGCCTAAAAATTTCTGAAACCATCTATGAAGATGTCTGTTATTAACATTCCTTATTCTGCAAGTCTGGTTGATTTACGAAAATGTCGCTAGTGATGATTAACATATCTTGAAGCAAAAATGCATTACAACTCGTCGGCCTTTTTCCCCCCTTTTAACAATCCCTTTGTTCAATTCAACAGAGTAAAACAACAATGTTTATGATCAAAATACCAATATCGTCATTTAATTTTCATTTAAAACTAAAAAATGACGAGAATATTTTTTTTTTTTTTAATTTG